GTCAGCTGGCGCTGAATGCCGTGCCACGGCGGATGGGACGCTAAGTCAGCGTGCCAACATACATTCAGCGCCAAGCTATTTGGCGCTGAGGTGTCTAAATTCAGCGCCACATGATTTGGCGTTGAGCAAAATGGTCAGTTTTGAAATAAGTTTTGATGGCGGTTTATTTGTAAAAATAGTTTTTGCAAAGGGTCAAATTGTCAAAATTTGTGTTAGTTACCTCTCACAACATTTTACTTCTATTGGATAGTTGTTCAATCGGACAGCAATCTTTCTGGCACGCCATTTTGTCATCACACCATTTTTCTTCTATTAATGGATAGTAGTTTGATCACACAACAAGCTCCCTGTCATGCCATATGTGATTCTCATTCTCCCTATATATGTCATTACAAATATAAAAGGTGATCCATGTTTCCATAGATATGTCGTTGTCTATTAATTCAGCAATGAAATGAATGAGATATTGAAGTGGCCTACATATGTCATTACAAATATAAAAACATGTTTCCTTATATATGCCGCTATCTATCGATTCAGCAATGAAATGAATGAGATATTGAAGTGAGCCAAAGTTATGTTCATGTTATACTCTAAAGAACTGTATTCACAATTCAACGCGTACATGGAGGAGAACACTCACTTGTATGTTTTTATGCATGTTCTCAATCCAACATGCTGGAAAAAACTCATCGAACATGTCATGTTATATAGTTTTAGATAAAACTAGATCGAGATCCGACGATTTACGGTGGATAACAGCGGGGACCAATGCATAATTAATAGAACTGTAGCTTTTTTTTTCAAAAGTGATATCTGACGTGGTATCCCTAACTCTCCAGCAATCCAGCAATCCCACGGTGTTTAAGTAAACAAATATTTCATCCATATCCCAAACATTCTATTGATACCTAAGTAATACCACAATATTATTTCTTCTTCCAAAAATACCACACGCATCACCATGTTTATTTTTGTGGACAAAATTGCCTTCACTGTCTCCCCTCGAGTGAATCAGCTACAAAATTCTCAGATGGACAGTGAGATTGTTGTCGTCCCACGCCGAAGGTGACAACAAATTTCCACACAAAGAATGTACTACCTCTCGCTCGTGGACGATAGTCGTGACGCTGGCAGGATGTGCATCTTGCTCCGCACCTTTACATGGTGCGTTGTACTGCCCAGGTGAACATCAAGCACATGTGTTCGTGTTCAGCAGTGACACATTAATCAGTTGGAGAGCAGCAAGACAACTCACACACATCCTCGTACATTCACAGCAAGAGCTGTTCTTGGCTTTAGGGAAGAGGTACAACATGACAGGAGAACACCTCGATGCACTTGGGGTTGCTACGCCAATCCGTGCTAGTCGGCTCCCACGGCGGCAATTGGGAGAACTGCCACGGCGATCGCGGTGGCAATGGTTGAATCGACCAGGGGCAATTTTGTCCATAGAATAATATTTCCTAGTTGTCAGCTAATTTTTGTGGTATTCTTCGAAAAGATGCTTCTACCTTTTGGCATGCAATGAAGGTGGAAAAATCTTGTGGTATTACTTGGTACCTGTAAAATGTTTGTGGTATAGATGAAATTTCCCCATAGTTTTATCATGTGTGTGCATATGCTCCATCTGTATATTATAATAGGTGTCATCAAATCGTCGACAATAACAAAGGGCATGTTTGGGGGAGCTTCTGGCATATAGATTTTCGTCCAGATTTTGAGAATCCTGAACTAGAAACCAAAAGCTGGGAAATCCAGCTTGTCCAGATTCTCAGAAGAGCTACCAACCAGCTGCTTTTCATAATCTTAAGTTTCCTCAATCATGCCCAAAGAACACTTTAAGAGACTGGTATTTGGCTCCTCTACGGCATTTAGGACTGGCGTAGCCTCCCGCGCAAGCTGACATGTCACTGCACCCACGTTGGGATCCGGTGGGATTTCGCGAGCACCCGTCGGCCTGTGTGTTCATGTCATTGTTGGTTGTGTTGCGAAAGAAACCTTTATTTCATCAATAATTTGTATTAGGCCCCTACTCTTTAGTTTCTACGTTCTGAATTATTACGAACAGTCCCTTTACAAAATGACATATTCTATACGAAGAAGCAAAAAATAACATAATAGGACTGCGCTCGGAAAATGGGAAATTAAGGGCTTGTTTGCAAAAACTTTTATCCTTATCACCCCTCCCATGAAACTTCATGATCTATGATTTGGCTATTGAGATCTGCCAAGATTGTCCCCTTCTTTTTGTAGTTCTTGCAGTATATGAAGAACCCAGATTGTCCTTTTCCTTTTTTCGGTTCTTGCAGTATACTGAGTCTGTTTGTGTTATGAAGGCCTGACTAAGTGTTAGGTTGGACCTAAATTACGTAATATGGTTGGTGAGTCAGAACAACGTAGTGGCCTTGGTGTTTGGCAGTGTTGGGTTGTGCTAACTGGCATATATTTTTTATGACATGGGCTTCATTTACAAAAAGCCTTATGTTTTTTTTGTCATAGCAGTAGCCTCATGGTTGCTTGCAATGGCAGTAGCATACTAGCATGAGGTATTTCGTCGGGCCTCTGCTTCCCATGGAAAAGAAGTGGCTTCATTATGGCCTTCTACACTATTAATCAAATTGAGGCATTGCATATAGCACTATAGTTCTTACCAGAACTATATATCTCCATGCTTCAGTTAAATAGAAGAACAAGCCTCAATTCTTAACAGTACCATGTTAATTCTCATGCGTTGGTTGCTCCTGCTTCACTGATTGCCCACAATGCTGAAGGCCTGAAGTGGATGGGAAAGTGGTGATTGAGAAGATTGAGGACAGTGAGTGGGAAGTCGGTTACAATGCGATGAACAACAAGTATGGGCACTCAATTGAGGCAGGTGTTATCGACCCAGCTAAGATGAGAAGATGCATGCTCTAGATGGTTTCTTGCAGAGTGGAGGTACAATGCATGGTACAAACGCCACATGTTGTTTGACCCAACATTCAAATACAAATGTTAGGTCTATCATGCATGTTTTTTTAAACCGAGCCAGCCTTGGCTGGTGTTAAGCCTGGGCAAAAACTGTACAGATACCACAGGTGGTCTAGAGAGAGGAAACAAAATAAAGAGAGAGAGGAAGAAAGCATATCATAGTGAAAAGGCCTATTCTCCTGGCATCAATGCGATCATCCCTTTTGCTCCATCCATTTTCCATGTGGCCGATTCTTCCATGGTCTTGCTCAGTACTTGCTGATGTGTGGACTCTTCCGCCCCGAAGACTGGGTTGTTGGGCTCGGTCCAAATTTCCAAGAAAAGTATAGACACTTTATATGCATATAGAGTATAGCCAGCCAAATTATCACTGCATTTTGCTTAATACCTGTAGAACAGATTATTAGCATTTGCTTTTCGCAATTCTGAGATGAGATAATCAGGTACTCACCCCCCCCCCCCCCTCCCCTGCTTTTCTATGGCTTCATCTTAGCCATAGAAAACAATTGATGGCATGGATTTAGTCAAATCCACCGGGTGGAGTTGTAGCCAACTCCAGGAGATCTGGACTCCCACAGGGACATAAAAAAGAATAATATAAAACAAATATTACGAGATATTTTAGACCATGTATCGTAGTATTCGGTATTCGGTAGTTTTGTAATTATGTACTTTACCAATTCAATTATGCAAATGCTAGGACTAATACAAATTGTAACTTAGCATTTGCTTCAATACATATTCTAAAGTTCTCTCCGTTAATTAGTATTTTTAGCACTTCCATCAAGCTGCAGTTCAACATTGCCATGGTACCCTCGAGCAGTTCAGTGCCCTCTTGTCTTGTCTCCAGAAGCACCGGCGGCGCCATTGTATCGCAAGACTATTCCTTCGCCATATATACACCAAGTTGCTGGCTACACCTTCGTCGTGCTTCATCGTGCTCCCTGATGGCTTCTTCAATGGCACAGGGGTTCGGAACCCAGCCCAATGCCTTGCCATGATGGTGGGTTCGATTATGCTATCAAAATCAACATCTATGTGTTGTTCTAAGTGTGGGTTTCCGTGATGGAAATTAGACTGAATGTATGCTGTTGGTTTGGATTTGATTCGATCTGTTCTAGAATGACTCACGATTTAAGGCCATCCCACCCTAAAATTTTACACTTGAACGTTCAAATACTTGCATGAAGTATTAAATATAAGCTTAAAAAATAACTAATTGCACAGATTGCGACTAATTTGCGAGATAAATCTTTTAAGCCTAATTTGCTCTATGATTTGACAATGTGACGGATTAATTAGGCTTAATAAGTTCATCTCACGAATTACTGTTGGATTCTGTAATTAATCTTTTTATTAGTATCCGATTACCCCATGCGACACCCTGTATAATACCCGATATGACACGGTAAAACTTTAGACTCTGAATCTAAACACCCCCTAGATGGAAAAAGATATGTTTGCCCTTGTGCTGTCAGGCTGCTCGATCTAGAGCTGATTGCAGTCTAAGTTGACGGCAAAGGAGAGAGAAGTGACGGAAATGGAAGAAACTTTAGGTGCTATTAAAGTAAACTAGTAATTTTTAGTGTTATAAATCTAAAAACGTAAACTTTCGATGCTATACAACCAATCTTCCCAAACTTAAATCCCTCGTGAACTATCCAAAAGACGCCTAAGATAGTACATGTTGGGCCTAAAGAATTTAAAAGAACACTCGGGTGTCTCAGTAGTAGCAACAGTCCTTTCCACCTATCAACATCAATATATCCGTACACCTGCAACTGCAAGTGCAACCCTGCAATCAGATTTTTCTTCAAGCACGGTTTCTAGGCTGAACTCCATCATCAGATCGCATATCCAAGGTGGTATTGATATGGTACTGATATGTGATGATTTGCAGATAAATTGGTCTTGTCGAAGATAAATTGGCCTGCTTATAGACTGCAATTCAATATTAGGGAAATTCCTGAGATGCTTCACATATACATGATCCAAAATCCAGGTTAAGAAATCCAGGAGAATTAAGAAAAAAAAATACAAATTGGATCAGTAAACTGAACAAATTTATGAAGAAGACAAGAGACACATATGCATCGCATTCATCACGACTCAACACTGCCTAATCCCATCATATCAAGAAGTTTATAATTTTCGTTGATCCAGATAGGATTTAAAGCACTAAGCCGTCAAAGTCATACATTAGTATGAATTTCAGACAAAAGACAATATAAACAGAGTACATTAATGGCATAACTTAAATCCCTCGTGAACTAACCAAGAGACGCCAAATATAGTAAACGTTTGGGTCTAACAGAATTCAAAAGAACACTAGGGTGTCTCAGTATCAGCAACAGTCCTTTCCACCTTAGCAACATCAATATATGCATACACCTGCAACTGCAAGTAGAACACTGCAATCAGATTTTTATTTCAAGTACCATACATAGCAAAAATAAAGGGGGTATAATGGTAGAAAACTATGCGTATCCAAGCAGGACAATTTGCAATCTAACTAACTGCTGCATACATAAATAGTACAACTGAGAGGATTCATTTCTTAAATTGCGGTGTTAATGCATACAGAACACTTCTGTTGCAGTTAGTATGTGGCAAGGAAAGCTGCTTCGTAGTAAAAGAAACACAGAACAAGGCAGCTCTTAGATCTCCTTATCATGGAGGAATTTAGGATAATAAGTGGGCATATCTTAAACCCAACTTACTGACCATTACCTTAACAACGTAAAAGTGAAGTCTCACTAAAACCCCATGTGGCACAAAAAACAAAAAACATAAAAACACAATGTTGATGTCGGGATATAATAGATTCGATCAATACTCAGAATCTCCTTTGATGCTTATTACTGCTGTTGGACTAGGGAGTTAATTAATGTTCCATAAAAAAACGACATTTAAAGTAAATATCCATTTTTTTCATGAGTATTCATATTTTTCTTACTAACATAGTTTCTTACAACTTGTTCATAGCCATTTGAGGTGAAAATGTAGTACGTATCAAACTGGCACTTGTCTTAGTACATGAACATGTTCAACATAAAAAATAATATTCTGACAGCTGTAAACCAGTGATGAAAAACTTCGAACTGAACCTAAATTGAAATTGTGAGACTGCATGGATGCCAAAATGAGGTACAAAAAACAAGAATAATGTAGCTCAGAGTGGAATGAATAACACAGTATCAAGACCAACATAGTCTAGTTTTGTGTACAATAAGTGAGGAAGAACACATCGTCATACCAAACAGAAAGAGTAAAAATACTAGAATAGATCAATGCAATGCAACTTCTTTGGCAAAATACATATTCCATTCTTGCAACAAAATATGCCAAAATAAGATATTTCAGGCATGTAAACTAAACATGCACTTGATACTTACCAAAGTATATGACTGATAAACAGCTTCAAATGAACTAATATATTTCCTCATCACGGCATCTACAAAATGATCTATCAAAGGGATCATCTGTAGTCAAATCACTGATGTGCTTCATGTGTACCAAACTATCCACCCCATAATCAGCCTGAAAATCAAATGTAACTCTTCGTGAAGCTCTGCCATAAAGCTGTAGCTTCTGATTTTGTTTTTCAATCCATTTTGCTTCACATTTGTCACGACGGGCTACAAGCTTGATACATTCTAGCACTCGAGCATTTAACACAAAGAACCTGATGAAGTTCAAATCTAACATATTTCCCTGATAGTTTATAAATTCCACCATCTTGAGATGTAGATCAAAGCACTCAAGTGAAACATTTCGCCGTATATTCTTTAAGTTCCCCTGATTGAATGCCTGACAAGAAAACAATTGAGTTGAAAGAAACACGATATCAGCATAGATCCAAGAAGAGGACTGATGCCGTAGCCCATAGCATAATAGAAAAAAAAGAGAGTGTTTATTCACTGAATTTAACAAAGAAAAAACACTCACCACAATGTATAGCTTTTCTACGCATGGAAAGCATTTTATGAAGTCAATAACAACATCCAGATCAGGAGTGGTGTCAAGGGCTAAAATCTTCACACTGCGCATCACATTGGACAGACTAACAGGTACCATCTTCTGAAATAGACATGGTGAGTGAACTGTATGAGTGAGGAATTTAAAGAAATAGCATATTAAGACATATAAATGCCTGCATGATATGTGCATGCAGCTACCTGGAAAACCATGGTTCCAAGCTCAAGTGTGGTAATTTTATGGCTTAGATAGCCCAATGTCTTCAGTTTCGGTGCCTGAATAACCCGAATAACAAAGTCACCCTGCCATATAGTGTGTGGGGTAAGCCTTTCCAGGAGTGGGGCATCCTCAACAATGACTTCCTCCAGCTTTTCATCTTTTCGGGTATCATTTGACACACCAAGGCTCCGAAGGGTCAAGGAGCTGATCCGGAGACGACGACAGCCCCTGTTCCAGCCAGCACCAAGCTCTCCAAGACAGGGCATTGTGACAGAAGAGCATGGAGAGTGCTATCTGAGATGTTCACATTGGATAGGGTGAGCTGCATAAGGTGTGGGAAATAAGCAGTCTCCATGGGAAACAGAAGCGTGTCACATGTTCCACTAATCCAGAGAACACGTAGAGTAGGCGAGAGACGGAGTACAGACCGCGGAACTGGAGGATAGCGAGAGCAATTATAATGATAGAAAAGTTCAAACTCCTGGAGGTTGTCAAGCCTAGGCGATCCAAGCAAGGAATCAACGACCGGAAAGTGGTTGTAGTCAAAGGTCCAGCTGACAGAGAATCGGCAGACAGGACCCTTGTGGGTTCGCAGCGTGCTGCGGATGGTGGCCACATCCTTAGCTATTCTGCCACCATTGACCCTGGCCTCAAGATTGAGAGGCGCGGATCGCCATAGGGGGCGCCACCGCCGCGAGAGCACCTGGGTGCGGGCCGCATCCTTGCCGGGGAGGATGGTGATGATGCCGATGAGGATATCATCTGGGAGGCGGTTTATCAGGTCTTCTCCTCCTCCGGGCGCCAGATGTGGGTTGCTGGATTCCTCCTCCAGCTTCCTCTTCTTGGCCCTTGTCACCACACCCATTTTCTTGGCCCTTTTTGCCACTCAACAAATCTGTGTGGATCAGGTACAAAACCTAACCAAGAACCTCTTATTCTTTGTGCGCAATTTTGATCAGGCACAAACCCTCTTCTTTGTTCGAGTGAATGAATGCAGACGCTACACCCCTGATTGATATCCAATGCAGACCAATAAACCCCCTGTCCCCCTGGTTTGGAAATGCAAAAATGTGGGGAAACGAACTTAATTTCTATGACATTGCAGGAAAAAAAAAGTCTATCGAACCGAATAAACATGTGGAATCCGAGATTATTATAGGAGCAAAAGGGAAAAGATTAGGGGGTGGGGAGGCAAACCCTAACCAGAAAATCGCTTCCCTCTCCGTTGAGCGGCCGCGTCTGGGAGTTCACCCTAACACATGTACACTCACCTTCGCTTCTCCTCCTCCGCCGCCGCCGCCGCCGCCGCCGATGGGGGAAGAGCGCGGCGGTGGAACTCCGGACGCCGCGATGGAGCAACCGTCCAGACTCCAGAACGAAGAGAGGTAGGGGGGACTGAGGAAGGTATTTGGGCCTGATGGGCCGTATATGGTCGTGGCCCAGGAAGAGAAAGGGGAGGGACGGCCCAATTTGATTGAGTTTTTTTTTTTTTTTGAGAATTAACTTGATTGAGTTGAATTGATACTTGACTTCACATTTTTCCCGAAATTAGGTGGAAGGTAGATTGACAGATTGTTTGGTATTTGGGATGAAGTTTGGAATTTTTTTTTCCGTATTTGGATAGATTTGTAGCTAGAGGGGATAGATTGGAGGGCCAAATAAAAATATTTCACAAATGATATTTGAGTTTACCTGAAGTATTTGAATTCTTATCAACCTCAAGGACAAGAGGATATCTAGTGGGGAAGAATATTGAACTGAAGAAGTGAAATCTCAAACAGAAATCTCTCCTCTCTTTCAACCCTCTCTCCACCTTTTAACCTTGATTTAGCCCATGGATCCAAACATACCACCCTAAGCTAATGTTTAGCCTATCAATTCATGACTAAACATTAGCTCTCAAAATTAACCCTGGGCTAATCTTCCAAATAGAGCCTAGCTAGCCTGAAATTTGTGCTGCCTGTGGAAATGCGGGTCAGTGCCGGAGTTGCACGGCCGCTGGATGGGCTAATGTTTAGCCTATCAATTCATGACTAAATATTAGCTCTCAAAATTAGCTCTGGACTAATCTTCCAAATAGAGCCTAGCTAGCCTGAAATTTGTACTGCATGTGGAAATGCGGGTCGGTGCCGGAGTTGCACGGCCGTTGGGTACATGCTCCCATGGGAGCGGACTACGTCTGAAGTGTGAAAGATGCACACCTCAGACGCGCTCCTCATCAGGGTTTTCACTTTTGATTTCGGCTAAAAATTCGGCAATTTCGGTAGAACCAAAATTTCGGTATTTTTGGACCAAAATTTTATGAAATTTTGACACAATTTAACTGAATTTGACTAAATCCATAAAATTTAAGAAAAAATGAAAATTTCAGTCAAGATATTGACTTATGGAATATCCGAAATTACCGAAATTTTGAAAATTTTGAAACTAAATTTCAATCCTTGCTCCTCACCGGCGGCTGGTACTGCACAGCTTAACACCCGCGCGTGTGCTGCCTTCTCGTCCTCCTCACCGTGAGGGCCTCCAAAGCCGACTTCATAGGGATTGCAATTTCGGTAAGCAACTATCATTAAAGATTTAATCATTTAATTTAAGTTATATCATCAATTAATGTACTCTGTTTATAAATTTTCTTTTGTCTTTCGTGTCAAATCCTGTGGCGATGATACGACTGAAGTTTAATATATTTGAGAGGAATAAGTACTTAATGATCAGTAGTGGGTAAATTTAAGTTGCTTGCATGCAAGTCGGTTGTCCACATGGCAGTTATCTAGCGAGTGGGGGTAGCACGAGACCCTTATTTGTATCCGGTCTCCACGAGACAACATATGTTTTCCCTTTACTAACACACAAGGCAAGCAAGTACATTCACGCCCTATATGACCTTCTATGCATTAAAAAACTCATCAATTATATGTGACTTTACTCTCTATATGGTATGGTCTCCCTATAAATAAACCCACATATCTAGACAAAGAATGCAGCTCCATAATTCTATATCTATCTTACTTTCATCAACTATTAAAATGAGATATTAGAGAGAACCAAAATAGTATCTATACTCCGCCGCTACGATATCGACTTTTACGCATACACTGAGAAATATACAGTAGATAAACTATTCACTAGCGATAATTTCGACTATTATTTTTAAACTGACAAATATACAGTAGATGAACTTCTCAATAACTATATTAGTGTAAAGGACTGCTCTAAATCTAAAATGTTTTTATTCCTCCGAAGGCGTTTTGTTGTTGTTCAATAGTTAATCTTTGAATGTTCATATATGGTTTTACGTAAGAAGATGAACCTAGACCTATTCCATTGCGAAACTTTGGTTAATTAAGGTGGCCAAAAGTGAAGTTTACTTAAAAACAATATTTACTAAGTGAGATAGATCGATTTTAGCTCAATTTTGAATGAACAAAATTCCTTATATATATAAGATTAGAAAGCATGTACATAAACCCTCAAAGGTGTTGTTTAGAGCTCTACCAAAACAATTTCAACGCGAGCCATGACATGGCACGTATTCTTAAATTTGAAGAAAAACTAGCACTGTTGCGACTAAACGCTCTCTAAAGCACCGCTAATTTCAGGTCCAGTTGCTTAATGAATTGGCTCAGCTTTTTAGTAAGTTGCAGCTGAGCTAGCTGTCCAAATCACCCGATTAAGTGTAGCAGAGTCACAGAAGTGCTGCGGCGCCGCGGCAACGGAAGGGCATGAGTGAGCTTAGCGTTTGGCATTAGGATTTCAGAGAATCAGATGTCATAGTGGGTTTGTTCAATCTCTCCTCCTCTACTTTTGTCAATGATATTTGATTCTCATTTCACCGATCAAACCAATGAACTAAATTCATTTCTTTTTACGCACCAACAGACAAATAATGTAGCAAAATAATTGAGAGGATGGTGTTGGTTTGCATTTGCCGTGATCAATTGGGATTATTGATTTTGCTTCACCGCTACTCCAACTTGAAAGATTTTGTGTTTTGCTTCACCGCCACCAGCACCAGGTGAGATCCTCACAGCCACTACAATGGTGCAGGCGTCCGTGCATGGATTTTGCTTGTTTGTTGTACCTGTGTCTCCAATCTCCTTTGCTCGATATGGTGCATGCTGACAAGTACATGCCAATCCATGCTCACCATATGTTTGTAGAAATGCCAATCAAATAGAATGCATTTTTCTTCTCCAAATTCTTAAGCTCCATTTTCTCACACACCTACTCTATGACAAATTGTAGGTTTCTTCAGACATGTTGATTGTCTTGGTATTAGGCGACTAAGTCATTCATAATTGTAGGTTTCAACCATGTGTTGGATCAGACCCGGTGGCATGAAACCTTGATTCGAAGGCATAATAATAAAAAAACTGAGTTTATGATTTGTGGTACCTCCACCTATTGATCTTGGACTGATCCTTTCTCTATTTCATATGTGCACCAAACAAATTCATTTTATAATGATCCTAATGATAGTGGTTGGAACAGAAATACCATATGACCTTGAATTAATTAATCATAACGACGGTAGTTGGACAAGAGTATGGACATGTAAATTTTGGTCCCTTTGGCAATTGGCATGGGAGCTGTATATTTTCACACAATTTTTTGCACTGCTACTTATAACCTTGCTGTGACCCGTAGGTTGTCAGCCAACAGTGGATGTTTGCACTGCTACCACTGCAATGGACAAGTTATTTCCCTCTGTGCTCCCTTCGCCCTACTGCAAGGTACTTTATTGGTTATAGTTGTGAATTATTAATTTACTTGCATACATTATATAGGAAGAGGGTACCCTTGCCGACATTACTAACTTAGGTGTGGCATATCTTAGAGGACAACATGACAGAGAGAGATGTATATATGCTTCCTTGACGATATTTTATTCATATCGTGCCTAGAGTTAAATTCACAAGGGATATAAAATAATGGAAAAAACAAGGTTAACCAATCTACTGCATTGCATCTTGAAAACCAATTTATGTTTATCATAAATGAATTGTTGCTCGCATCAATTTTTATAAAGCAGTCGGTATATCACTTAGATCATGTTATTCGGGGATTCACACCGCATATGCTATATATTAATATTAAGTCACTTGGTTGACTATAATTATCAAAACCACTCGGTTGGTTGGATTATTTACTCCTTGACTATATGTTCAGTTTGTTCAACTAACCACATAGTCGGGGGCTACACCTATTAGGTGCATCGACTTTATTTTTCAGCCCTCCACAGTCTTCTGATTTGGTAAAGGTACTCGGGAGACCATGGCAAAGATGATTGAAGCACTCGGCTTTGGAGTAATCTGGTTCGAGAGAAGATTATCTTTTCGACTGTGAAGGTCTCAGGGGCTACTGTGGAGATTATGGGTACCCCATACCTACACGGTATGGTTATCCGACTGGTTATAGGGGATAACTTATATCTATAGAATATGTAACGGATCATGACTTGGGTATTACGTTTCCTTATATATTATGAAACGGACTAAAGTCCTAGTTTGATAAGATTGTAAAGTAGATTTAGGAAACCGATACCGTATTGGTTAAGGTTTCTATCTTATAATCCTGCCCCCCATCCTATATAAGGTGGGCAGGAGGACCTCTAGGGGGCATGAGACATAACTAGATCGTCAGATCAATACACACCCGGCGGATTCAAATCTCCAAACAGGAGTAGGGTATTACCTCTCATTGAGAGGGCCTGAACCTGTCTAAATTCTCGTCTCCGCATCCATCCACTTTTAGATCTCGTGTAGTACCCTCTTTTATTATTGCCGAATTCATGTTTCGACAGCGTTGGCGAGGCGGACGAGGCCCGCACGGCCGCGGGCGGCGTGCCGTCCTCAGCCTCGGCGCGGAGCTGCGCGTTGGCGAGCTCGCGGTTGCAGCGCTTCCTGCCGTCCTCAGCCGCCGCCCCCGCCGCCCTCTCTCTCCTCCCTCCCCTTGCTGCAGCGAGCGGCGGCGAGCACGGCTAGGTGGCTTCGGCCGACGGCGAGCGATGGCGAGCACGACGGGGAGGGCGAACTGGCGGAAACCGCGAGGATCCTCACCGCCGCCATTGCTGCCCAAGCTTTTTCGCGTGGCTATGTATACATGCACACAGCCACCAGCTCCCTTGCTCATCTGCATGCGGCCGTGTTGCTACTGACCAATGCCCAGCTAGCAAGCTCCACTACAGCTTTGACCACTGAGCCGTTGCTGTTCACCTGTCTCCTGAAATGGACAAATAGTTGGGAGTCATCAATCGTCTTCTTCGTCTCCTCGCGATCTGATTCTTTTCTGTCACCGTGTTATGGAGGTGAGCCATGGAGATATGCTTTGCATTTCGTTGCCTTTCTTCTTCACAACACAAGCAGAGAAAAAAGAGGACCTCTTCA